ATGTTTTATGTTAAGATTTGAATAACACAATTACAAACTGTCTAAAACTCATAATACAAGCATATAATTAATTTAGCACGTATGTTCATTTTAAGGATAATGTACCCTTTTGTTTTTTCAATGCTAAACATATGGAAATTTTATTCAAAAACCGCAGCCTTTCCACTTGTTCTCCGTTAATTGTCAGTTCAGTTCTCAATAGGTAGAAGATTGTTGAATGCAGAGCTGTCAATGATTTCCCTCGAATAAGAATAAAGATAAAATTAAAAACCAATTGTTCAAAAAACAATTGAAGGTCTTTCCACCATAAAAAAACATGTATTTTGATATGAAAATATAAAAATCGAGTTTAGAATACCATTTCTAGTATCAGATTATAGCTAACTGTGAGCTGATTCCAAAAATATATGGTTTCTATACATTTTAGTTAAAAATAAGGGATATAATTTGTTACTTCCGGTTTGAAAAAATCATTTCCTGTATAATATGATAGTTTACTTGACACTGATTTCAAAAATATGGTTCTATATACTTTAACATTAAATAAGAACCCCGGTTCACACAAGGTCACTTCTGTTTGGCTTTTTCAAGGTCATATGGCTTGCAACCTAATGCAAGACGTCACATGGCTCTATCATTTATAAAAATAAAGTTAAAGCAAAGGTCAAAATCTAGAACGTCAAATTTACATATGACCTTCATCTAAATTTCAAGGTCTGAAACTACGGACCTCAAATCGAAAGACCCTAGGTCTCTACTATCCATGGTTAATGAGTTATATCACGAAACAGCTAGTTTTAATATAAGAGGGGAGAAAACTCCCATTTTCTTTCAACGTATTCGTTTAACAAAAATTTATGTGTAACGACATGTCGCATATAACAATAAAGGGGGCTCAATTTTTTTTTTAAATATAGCATTTCGCTATTTTTTTCTATAAACGAACGGTATCATATACTTACTAGAAAAATAAAATAAAAAAATGGGGTCACCGTTCATTTAAGCTCACAATCTGCCTTCGAAAGAAGCATGCATTTTTGTTAAGGTACTTTTTTCTGTCGAACTAATAGAGCTTTCTTACAATTTGACGAAAGGTACGTACGCTTGACGAATCATACGTAAGACTCGTTTTAGGGATCCTTTATTTTAAATTATTTGAATAATAGTCATCGAACTTGGATGGCATTTCACCCTAATATTAACCTATTAAGGACCATTATCCTACATGCAATGACACTTATCAAATGAGATTTTTCGTGAGATATAGGATTTCGTAACGTACAATAGGTTAAACTATAATACATTTGTAAAACCAGGTGGAAGGAGATGATGATACAAAACATCCTGAATATAGGGTAGTCAGAAGAAAAAAATACCCCTAAAAACTGAAAAAAAAAGTGTTCCAACCCTCCTTCCTGATCCCTACCTTTCAAAATTACAATGTTGCATGATTTAAACTAAGAATCATCGCCTCTCCCTGTGTAATATTCATTGTTACCTTGTGATGTGTCCATAAACCGGAATAAGGCTCTCCTATGGAACCATTATTTTAACGTATAATTGTGTTTGGTTACAGTCCTGAACATTCATGAAATATTAGCCACTGGACATTGAGTGACCACTATGCGTCTATCTTCCAAGCATGTGTACTGTTTAATCGTCATATATGATGCAAAATTATAGATTTATTTTCTTGATGTACATTTAAGTGTAAAAATGTGAATTTAAATGAAAAAAAACGATCTACATGAATACATTATGATGATTGTATTATAACTTATGTATTTCAAGTGGTGAGACTCTAACAAAATATTGAATCTGAATCTGTATATAATTAGTTGATCTATAATTAAAGATTAAGGGCAGATTTAGCAATGAGGCGCACCAGAGTACCTCTACTCAACAGACACATTCCTAGCCTCCAATTCTACATCTTTGCCTTAATCTATTATATAGAATTTAGTCAGATAGAGAGAGAGACGGTTTAATTTTCCAAAACACCCAAGCTTATGGTTTTTTGATTGAGTGTAAGGGAACAAGCATTTAACTTCAAGGGGGTTATGATTTTTTCCTAAAAACAATTTTTGATTCCCAATTTGACAAACAAACAAAATTTTGGTCAAGTTGAGATTACAGACAAAAATATTCTGAATCCTGATTTTTTCTTTACCTTATAGTGTCAAAATTTTGAAGAAAAAAAATTGATTGAAAGCGCCGAAAAACTAAGACAAACAATATTGATTCAGTTCATATTAAACTGAATTTGCAATTATAGTTATAGTTTCACATTTGTTGCCTGCGATCACAACATACACATTACTTTTTTTCACATTTAACATAACATTAATAGAAAAAAAACTTTATCACAAAATCTGTTTTCCTAGATTTATTGCACATTACTTTTTCAAAACATTGTAGCATCCTTGTTTTGCAAATCTCGATTGCTCATAAAAAATAAAAATAAATGTGAATCTTGTCGTTAAATTTAGATTAACGTACTTCAATAATGCCATTAAAATATTCATCGTGAAACTCGTGCATGAACAATTCCCGCGGAAATATGTGTACTCCTGGTTTATGTAAGTAACGTATCGGACGTAAGTGTATTCAACACGTGTATTATTTGCGATATGCTTTTTTTTAAAGATAAATTTGATTTAGAAAAGAATGCTGTTTTACCGGATAAAACAAAGACTTTAAATTGTTATTGTGAAAATGTAATACGTGCTCCCTTTACGTTCGTTCGTACCACTCGTCAAAATGTAAGAAAGTTCTAATAGGAGAAATAGAGGTAATCTCGAAATACAAAAAGAACTATATAACAGAAATCGCTTAAATGTTACAATTTTTTAGTTTGAGTACAGCTTATTTGAGAAAAATAATACAAAATTTATGTCACCGATAATATTTCAATTTAAATGCAAAAAAATGACAATGTTGCACCAAAGGGAGATAATTTGGAGCTTTTTCAATACTATAAACATTTTAAAAGTCATCTTGGCCCAAAACAAATCGATTTTTTTGGTTCATTTTTGTACCATATCATAAAGTTACAACTTATAGTGTCATAAATAAAATTTGTAATGAAAAATAAATGTTGGGTTATTTTCAATTCTTTTCAAAAGCCGCATAAGATATTGACAACATATGAGTACTAAATTGTTACTTGCGACATGTCATACCACATACAGTTTGGTTGAAAGGGTACGTTACATTAAATTGAAGTGTACAGGGAGATAGCTCTTACAAAATAAAATATTTGGTTTAGCGATGTCAGTTTCAAAAGCGTATAAACTTTTCGATATCATATACCAAAAATCTAAGCGACATCTTTTAAAATAACAATACAGGGGAAGAAAAAAAGTAGGCGGAAGAAAACAAAATCAGGACAAAAGCAATAGGTCTTTCCACGGAAAAGTGGAAAGACCTAAATAATCAGAACAAAATCAATAGGTCTTTCCACGGAAAAGTGGAATGACCTATATAGTGGTTTAAACAAGTATAAAAATTCCAGTACACCTTCTTGCGTGCGCTCGACTTTAGTGACGAGGATTTTTTAATTGTAAAGGTTGTTTATGTAGACAACAAATACTAGCATACTATAGACAAGAGAGTGAACAAATTCTGTAGGCTTTAATCAAAAATCTTTGCTTTATTTGCCAAAAAATATCCATTTTCTTTAAAATGAAATGAAATATTAAACAGTATTGCTTTTAAGAACGTTTCCCTTTGGTATATGTACAAAATGGTACGTCATTTTTATGTTCTATTTTCAATGTTTAAATATTGTTGCACTTTGAAAATTTGGTCGTACTCAGGCCTTCAGAAGGGGTCATCAACCTTTATTTCAATAAACTTCATTTGTTTCTAGAAAAACAACTATTACTACGAACATATCGAAATCGAATAGATGATTGATTTCTTTAACCTGCGGTAACGTGTTCTTTTTTCTTTTTCCTACATTCTTCGTCGTGGATAAGCAGGGTTTTGCATTATATTCATATATAGACTATGATTCTATTTTAAAAAAAAATATTGCAAATTAACACCGACATCTGAAAAAAAATTTCCCCTAATTATAATCATATTTAAGTTATTAAACATGCGGTCTTTGTATTACGGCACGATCTATAAAGCGTTGGGAGTATTATATTTTTCATTGTAGCTGATGTTAGGAAGAATAAGAGTTAAACAGAGGCCGATTTCCATATCAAAAGACGGACGAAGATTAATAAAATCTTTTGAAAAAAAAGAAATACATAAAAGTACAAACACAGCACTTACAAAGATCTTTGTCAACCAAATTTCTGATAAAGAAGACAACTCAAAATATGAGCCCGGAAACACGGCTGTGAAAAAAGTTTTGACGCTTGCAATGTTAAAATCAATTTGAAAATATTTAAAAAAAAAAAAAAACAAAAAAAAAAAAAAACGTCTTGATCAGTGATGAAATTATTCTATGAGAAGGTTTCCTATATATATAGCTAGAAAAAATATGTTTTTGTGTAATTGATTTTTGTTCTTTCGTTTTAATTTTTTTCAAATTTAAAAAAGCAAATTGTGTTTATGGTGGATTTTTTTTTCAGTCCTTGAACCTTCATTTACCTATAAGAACCAATTATGCTACCTTCAGCTGGGCAATATTTTCAAGAATGTGGGATGTTAATCTTTAAAATATTGGACGGTTAAAATTAACATGGATTCTTACAGGTTAATGATAGTCCAATCACTGAAATAAGAAATACGAAAAAGCCATACTGACAATTGTGCCACTGTTTATATATGTTATGATTAATTTCAATGACTTAACTTATTTTTAATTTAAGCAAAAATGTTTACATAGAAGCTTCCGCACAATTTGACCAACATATAACTCTTACCAAAACTTTGAAATATTATATAAGACCAATAACTATAATATCTCTCAAATATATTTTGTCGGAATAAAAAAATATATTCATTTCATAAAATAGTTTTTCAAGGGAAAATTATAAACATACCGATGAGCCTTTGTCTCTTTGATCCTTCTGAAAAAGAAAAGAAGCTCTATAATACTATAAAACTAAAAAGATGTGGTAAACTTACGATTGTAGTAACTGTCCACCTGATGACCAAAGGATAATGATGTGAAAATTACTACTATGTCTTCAAATTTGTCATCACACGTTTAAAGTGTCAGTAAATTTATCAGCTATAAAACAATAACGCAAACAGAAAACGACTTAAAACAATTTCGACTGACGCAATTACCTTTAGCAAAAGAAATAAATGTTTCCACTTTTTGTTTTTGTTTTTCACTGGAATCTTTTTCTACCGTTGGGAAGTCAGTCTCGTATTTAAGAGATTTATTTTGGCTTTTCTGTAGCAATAATCTGGAATGTCTACTTACTCCGAAATTAACATTTGAACCGTCAGAATGTTCTTTTTATGTTTGTTTATGATTCAAAAGATGTTAAAGAGAGAGGCTCGCATTGCTGATTTTGGATTTTGTTGTTTAACAAATATATCTGATATAGCATATTCACTCAAATAAGATTATTTTCTTAAAAGAGGTTGTTCAAAATAATTGATTTTATGTTCATGTTGCTGTCTCCTTGATCTATGCCCCATGTTGCTGTCTGCTTGATCTATAATATACCTCTTTTGAAATGCACTAATGGTAATCTTAATCATGACTGGTCACTTCATTCAAATAGAAATTTAGAAAAATATACCAAACAGCCACGTTTTTTCAACAACTATTCATTCTGTCAGATTAACTGTGATGTCATAGTACTCTGATTTATTCATAAATATCTTTTTAAAATGTCTTTTTAATGCGCTCCTACGCTGGTTCAAGAGCGGGTTAAATTTCGTTTTTAATCAAGAAAACTAAGTTATATAGATAAAAACATTTCAAGTCTTTGTATCTGTCTATCAAACAGGATTATATCCGGTTACTGAAGCATCTGTAAATTTGACCTCACATGTTGTCAGGGTATGATATTCCGAGCACTTTATAAAACCCGTGTAGCAAACTGTCAGAGAAGAAATATTTTTCTGTTGTAAGAGAAACAAATAATTAGTTCTAAGCAAATTCAAGCCTTGAAAAAGAAGGGGCAAAAAAAAAGATAAAATTTCATCTTGTAATTATCGAGATACATGTATTTGCAAATTACTGTAAGTTTGTCATTTGAACACCTGAACGATTAAGTAAAACACGCCACTACAACTCACTACTTAAACACAACGGAAAGGACGTACAGTGGGTCACCCTGATAAAATACGTGTGTTATATCGTATGTAACATGTGTAAACACTTTAGTTACAGATCACGGCTTGCTAAGTAAATAAACAGTTTTGATATATATCGATGACAATTATTACATTGAGAATATAGATATACATTTATCGATGCTTAATATTAGCATAATTATTTAAATCAAATGTTTGTAATTTGAAAAGTATTGAAAAACCACAAGCCCAATCTGAGACTATTATAACACAGACATTGTAGTAGTCTGAGCACAAATCAACCTTTTTTTCTATAAAATACGAATATGTGCATCCTAAAGTGGCGGTAAAAGCAGAAGTAGAACCACGCATGTTATTTTTCATTAACGGCATTCTCAACACGTGTTTCCAAAACACAACGGTAACTTGTTGATTTGTTAAATTAAACTATGTGGGTTTTTCTGAGCTTCAAAAAGTAAAAAAATCTCTTACTTACTAGAAGAAGGACTGTAGTTATAGCAGCATTTCAAATTATATAAGTTTATTCTCCAGCTTAAATGTGAAGAATTGAGTACTGTCAGTCATAGTAATATGCTTGGCTGGTTTAGAAAAAAAATATATTGATCAAGCTATTTCATAAAAAAATTAATACTGGATAGACTTGTAGTTAAAATATACCGAGATTTAAAATAAAAACCAAAATTTTAAAATGGAAATCAGTTATTGTGTAATATATACTGTACACGTTATATCATATCCCAGCACCATGAGCATAGTCCTACCTACGGACGAATATAGGATAGAAAAGTCGCAGTACAAAAATTTACAATTCAGTTTTTAGTTTATTTTTTTAATAAGAAAAAAATTTGTCAAAATAATTTTTGAAATTTTTCTAGAACTTTTAGATATATGGCAACTTTACAAACAAAATTTATTCTGAAAAAATCAATAATGAAAAAATAATTGTAAAGATTACAATTTTTCAAAGTGGCTTGGTACTTCAATGGTTTCATTATGACACAGTGCAAATAGATATATCCTTTCCATGCAAAAAATTTGACATCAATTCATTACTCAAGGTTTAAATGAACTATTTCATAAATTGTAAAATGAATATATGCAAGTAACCAAAAATAAATTGTAGATATTTTTCCTTTTTTCAAACAAAATTCAACAAATAATATGTTTGACTTTTATACTATCAAATTTGTTACTTTGTGTCCTGTAACTTCCAGTACGTTTGCCACAGAGTCATATTATACAATTGTAATCTATGTCTGTGTCCTTAATCACAGGTCTATTTTATATGTAAATATATATCGTTGTTTTTTTTTGTTATTAGAAAATAAGATATAAAACCTCAATCGTAGAGATATAATAGCAATATAATTATTAAATAGGTTAAAATATCTAGGAGCATTTAAAACTACAACAAAAACCACTATATAAAATTTTTTGAAAAAATGGGTGTGCATTCCCAAATAACTTGTGTCCTAAATCCTAAATGTTATGATCACACCATATTTAAAAAAAAAATTATATCATACTGCTTTTAAAATGTTGACCCTTTTCTTTCATTTGAAATTTAAGCAATGACAAATAAATAACTAAACAAGAAAAATATTAATCCTCTCGATCACCTTTTGGTCCTTGAAATTAAAACAGTTCGTACTTTGACACCTACTGTTTAGTAAACATCCTGTAAGGTAATAAAGATCAAACAGTAGCTATTATCCCTCCACTCAAGTAATTAACAACTGGGTCATACAGAAACGCCACCTGTTGTTTGTAAAGTGATAAACTTTATAGTTTGATAATCAACATAATTAAAAAGGTATTACATATATATACCCAGTTTTTAACTTGCAATTAATTATTTTTATTACATGGAACAGTCAAAAGGTGATCGAGATGAATAACATTTTTCTTGTTTACTTATTTATTTGTCAAAATGTTATGCAACTTTACGTAAATAAAAACCATATTTGTTCTCGACTCAATAATTTTTTTTTTAATTAATTGACTGTCAATTTGACTCAGTTCTAAAATCAGGAACAATGTTTTCAGTTGAAAACTCAATGTTGAATTACCCCAACCCCATCTCCCCTTTTTCTATTGAAACACGTTATAAATACACTTCCCTTCTGAAACATATTTTGTTCCTTTTGACAAATTGATCATAACGAAGAATGAGCCTTGAAGGGGTAGCAAAATTCATTGGCAGTGATTTAAATCAACGATCAGAAGAAAGTTCATTCATTAAACAACGTTTAGATAAGCCGAAAAAGTGACCCACAGTACGTCACTTCCGGTAGATTTGGTTTTACTGCTGTTTCCGGAAGTAGTAGCCACGTCCACTTGTATTTGTAGTATTTGTATTCTTATCCATCTGGTGAGTTAAGCTTCTTTCTACTGATTTTTATAGTTCGTTTTTATGTTGTTCTGTAACACCACTGTCCAAGGTTAGGGGGAGGGTTGGGATCCCGCTAACATGTTTAACCCCACAACATTCTGTATGTATGTGCCTTTCCCAAGTCAGGAGCTTGTAATTTAGTGGTTGTCGTTTATTTATGTGTTGCATATTTGTTTTTCGTTCATTTTTTGTACATGAATAAGGCCGTTAGTTTTCTTGTTTGAATTGTTTTACATTGTAATTTCGGGCCTTTTATAGCTGACTGTGCGGTATGGGCTTTGCTCATTGTTGAATGCCGTACGGTGACCTATAGTTGTTAATTTCTGTGTCATTTGGTCTCTTGTGGAGAGTTGTCTCATTGGCAATCATACCACATCTTCTTTTTTATATTGATTGGATTTCCCTAAGGTAACAATAGTTGAACTTTATTTGCTATTATCTCTATTGTGGACCAAATTGTATGGAACGGCTTCACTGCCTTATAAGAAGAAACCATAATGACATGATGTGAATGTTGCTTACATCATGTAAAAACACTATGACATGATATGAATACATCATTACATGATATGAAAACATCATTACATGATATGAATACTTCATTACATGATATGAATACTTCATTACATGATATGAATACTTCTTTACATAATGTGAATTCTTCGTTACGTGGTTATGGTGGTGTAGTTACGTCTTTACATGATGTGGTTACGTCTTTACGTGATGTGGTTACGTCTTTACATGATGTAAAAACTTCATTACGTGATGTGGGTACATCTTAACATGATGCGATCACTTCATTACGTGATGTGGTTACTTCTTTATAAGAAACACATATGACGTTGTGTGAAAACTTCATCATGTGATGTCGTAACTTCTTTATAAGAAACGCATATGACGTTTTTGAACAGTTCTATTATTAATAATACGAAATTCGGCATTGATTCCCACGTCAGAACACAATAAGATTGAGTCTAGATAAAGCCGATACAGCAGACTTTGGTAGGATAGCGTTCCGACAGTATCTGATCATCCCGAATACGGCGACAGTTATTTAACCGATATCTGCAATCAGCGTCGGTTCACTGTCTGGTCACTGTCTGATCTCTGTCTGATCACATTCGTTGAATCGGGACGCTTTCTGGAAAGATTCGGTCGTTTTTGACCGTGCGAAAGATACAAGTCGGATTAGAACCGGATAGAAAAAGGGGTTAATTGGGACAAATTCGGCTGGAACCGGATGAATTAGGACGCTTCGTGATTGTTGTCGTGATTAAAAAATTGGGTTTTTTTAGAAATTTTAATTAAAGTTTGAATTTCGAGCCACGATTAACAGAATCTGATCAGTTTTTTGACAAATTTTAATCGGGAATGGTCCTGTCAAGGCTGTCTGTAAATTCGTGAATATATGATCCCGGCTTTAAACAGGAGTTATAATCCAATCGACACTGTGTAAACGCCACATAACCGAATCCCTATGTTTTGAATGTGCTCCCAGAGGCGGTCTTCCCTAGTCTTTCAAGAATTTAATTTAAACCCTTAATTATGCCTGAGAGGTTTCGTGTTCTTATAAAAATGTTTTGACATAACGAGGTGTTCACATAACGTCATATGTGTTTCTTATTAAGAAGTAACCACATCAGGGAATGAAGTTTTAACCTAACGTCATATGCTTTTCTTATAAAGAAGTAACCACATCACGTAATGAAGTTTTCGAATCATGTAAAGATGTACCCACATCACGAAATGAAGTTATCACATAATGTAAAGAAGTAACCGCATCACGTAATGAAGTTTTCACATTATGTAAAGACGTAACCACATTATTTAAAGACGTAACCACCTCATGTAACGAAGAATTCACATCATGTAAAGGAGTATTTATATCATGTGATGATGTATTCATATCATGTAATAGTGTGTTGACATGATGTAAGCAACATTGACATCATGTCATTGTGGTTTCTTCTTATAAGGCAGTGTTGGCGTTCCAAAAAATTGCATCAGTTTTTTTGCATTTGTTATCAATTATTTCGAACTTTAGAATAAGAATCACTTCTGTGCGTTTTAGTACCTCTTTAAAAGAAAAACGATGAATAGAAAGAAAAAGAAACAGTCAACAAATTACTACATAGAAAACTGAAGATTAAACTACGTGAAAGTCTGGTGCTTTTGCCAGTCTTATATATAACTACATTAGCGAGTGTAAGAAAATATTGATATATTTATTAAAATATGACAAGCATCAATTTAATGTCACATATTTGAATGCTTACTTGCACATCTGTCGTATGTGTATAAGTTGTATTGCACAACCTTCTCTTCTGATAGCATACCAGCAATATGTGTTGAATATATATATATGTAGGACTCAAATCTATTGTGGGTTCCAGATCTATGGCAGATTACAAATCTATGTTAGGATGGTATGCAAATATCTTGTAAACACATTTTTTCGATTCAAATTCTGATCATTTGTACAAAAAAGTAACGACTTGGCCATAAATTAGGAAACTAGAAAATGTGCCATAAATTTGGATTCCTAAAATTCTGCTAAAATTACACTTGGGATAGCATTACTTCAAATTAACATTATTATTTACCTCTTTGTGATGTATCCAACTTTTCTATTTTTTCTTCCAGTGAATCAATTCCGTCCTTTAGCACCTCGTTATCTTTTATGATATCCTGCAATTAACATATAACGTCGTTGATATTTTCATAATCTGAATTCTTTCATTATCCAAAATAGAAGTTTAATTTATGCATTGTTCGTGATTATGTACCTGTACGAATGATAAGTATGGAAATGTTCAAAACTTAAATGGTATGCGTATTCATAAATTCTATTGTCGGTTTTTTGTTTTTGTTTTTGTTAATGTTTTGTTTTTTACTAAAAACTCAATATAGAATTCACAAAATATTAGGATTTAATGATCACTACTCTGAACTCAATTTTTGGGTACATTTATATCTTTGTATATGCAAATTAAAGCTTCAAAACGGGAATAGTCCGAGTATTGGTAGGTTTTAATTCCTTACCTCCAAGAAGACAGCAACTAAAACAACACAAATAACTACCAAACCTATGGAAGTCAACATGCATATAGTTGTCAGCAATAGAAAGGGGTCTTAACAAAATTTTAAAGGTCCCAATATCCTAAAGTCGAAAAGAGATAAAAATCTCAACAACAAATTAAAAGTTCTACAATCAATAATAACTTGTGTTTAAGTAATACAACACTTTCAGACATGACAAAAGACAACACATGAAGACGTTTCTCATTTTGGACTTTTTTACTATACCTCATAGTTGCTAATCGTTCGTAAAAGAACCTTCTCATATTGACAAAACATCCTGCTATCTAATGGCTTATCACGAAGATCTAGAAGCATCTGTCTGTAATAATCTTCTTTGCCACAAACAGTCGCTATGTCAAGTATGGCATCTTCAGCTTCGCTCATAAATGTGTTGAATTCAGTACATGACATACTGGCTTTTTTCGCATGACCAAATGTTAAATTTCTAAGTTCAACTAATTTTTCTACCGATTTTCGTGTCGAGCAGGAGCACTGGATAATTATATTTTGAAGTTCAAAATGTATTTGCTGAACAGTTATACATTGTGAAGCTGTAAATGAACAGATACTCATGGCTCCAATTGCCGGTCTTTTCCGGTCATTTTCGCATGGCGGCAATGTGGAATTGAACATTTTCTTCCATTCGCTTTCCATGATTAGAGGAGCATTGCATGGTAAAATGAAGTCAGGTTGACACTTACAACATTTGGTATTGCTTTTCCATAGATGGTACAGGATATGCCTATTTGAGTTTAAGAACTGTTCAAGCGTCACACCTTTGAATGCCAAACAACTATACCAAAACATGTCAATGCAACAATTTATAAGAAGACATCGTGCTAGTGTTAAATCTAATACTGCTGTAGTGACACTATTTTTCGCATAACAACAACAAAAGTCACTGCGTCTTGTTGTTTTATGAACTGATAATTGTCTGTTTTTATCAAAAAGAAGTTCCATTTGAGACGCAAATAAAATTCTTTTCTTTCTTTGCAGAGGTCCCGGTCCACACTGACAGCATTTTGCATCATAATATAGATGATAGATGTCATGTTGGTTCTGATTCAGAAATTCCTCAAATGTTTGATTGTTGTTTTTCAGGTGTTGTTCTAAAAAACACTGCAAAACCTCTTTCGAGTGGTCAACTGTCAAAATTGAGTTCCTATAAAAGTTTTCCTCTTCTTTTAATGAAGACACCATCTCTGCAAGCAAATATGACCAATTTGTATTATATTGTTTTATTTGTCATTGAAATCCCAGTTGTAATATAGATAAATATCTAATTTCACTAATTCTGGAATTTTGGGTCTTTAATGCTCTTCGACTTTTGTTTTATTTTTTTGATTCATTGATCAGTCTGTTATAGACGAATCACGCATCTGGTGTACAAAGTTTTAATCCTGGTATGTATGATGAGTTTATGTATAGTAGTGCAGATTCACATACTTAAATGCAATATAAAAAACTTTGGTCACGAAAAGGTGTAGATATATACAGGGAACGAAATGATTTGTATACTTTTCAATGGACCTTTTTTTTTAAAATACAGTTTGGAAAAAAACGATAGTACATTCGTTTCTTATCCTTCTTTATATTTGAATGTTTTTCACTGTCAATGCATAAACCAACCCGAACATGTAAGATAATTAGTTACAAAACGAATGACGCCTTGATAAGTTGAAATGGAACATTGAAGGAAGTATTAGTAGATTTGCATTTACCTTTATCTGGCAAAACCTTTCGAATTATCGGACACTCAATACTTAGGCCTTACCTTATTGTTCGTTCTGTCTTGTCCTCTGTGAACTATTCGCCTCTAAAAATATATCCTTGTAATTGGTATTTATTATAAGAGGATTTTCCGTAATATAATCTTTAACAAAAGATTCTTAATAACGAAGTCAAATAACTTTAAATGTCTGAACAATGAACCCTTACCGGTTACCTTATTTATTTTAAACCGCATCTTTTATAAATTGTTTATCTCTAAAAAAATATCCTTGTAATTATTATTTTTATAACTGTTTTTTTTCTGAACGATCTTTTTAACAGAAACTGCTTAACAAATGAAGTCAAATAACTTTTAATGTCTGAACAAAGAACCCTTACCTGTTACCACCTGAATTTCTTTAATCCTCCTCTTCTGTGAACTACATATCTCTAAATTTATATCCTTGTAATTGTTATTTTTATAATTAGATTTTTCTTATATGGTATTTAACAAGATCGTATTAACAGCGACAAATCGATTTACTTTTAATATCTGATCAAGTTTTGTAATCTGTTTAATACATATCTCTAAAAAATATTCTTGTAAAAGTTATTTTCATAACTGTGGTTTTCTTCATATGGTCTTTAACAATTACTTCTTAACAATAACAAGGAAAGAAAACCTTTAAATATCTGAATAAATAAATGTTTGATTATTGTGTGATTTATGCTTTATTATAACCTGTTAACAAAAATCATTTAGTTTAGAAATTGTGAATAGTTATTGGAAAGCCATCATCAAACACAAATAAACAAATACAAACTCTTTGAGATCAGTGACAAAGAGAAAACATGATATGCAATAAACAAAAAGAAACAAACAACCAAAATACAGGAAAAACATATTCCTTAATGACAGAAAATAAAACAAAATATATATTCCTATACAATATTACTCTAATAAATCAGATTAATTCAATATTAATAAATTCATTGTCCCCTGTTCTCAGTTCTAATGGTTGTTTTATAAGGGACCGTGAACCATCCATTTCTTTTCAGGCTGATGAGTTAAGAATTTTTTATCTTATTTTTCTTGGCACACTTCTACTTGTGACATATTTAAAAAGGAACATTACAAAAGAAGAGAGGTGTTTTTTTTGCCACTATCCTCCTTAAGACGTGGCTGTAAGCAACTATGTTTTATCATTTTTGAAAGAAAGCAAAATGCTAATTATTTCAATTGAATAAGACGATGAATATTCGTTCACACATATACCGTATACCATATGTTTTAACTTATACACAAAGCTTATAACCACAAAATACAGATCAAGTTTGAATTTTGTTGATGTCATGTTTACCGTTCCAGGGTTATACCCAATTACAAATGGAAAAATTGCATAATTTTTCGTTCCCGTTCTCTAACCCAGTTTTGCCCCAATCAAATGTTATGAAACTTATAAACAATGCTTATTACCACAAAAAAAAATCAATTTCGAATTTATGTGTATAATGTCCCTTTAGAAAATAATATGCAAGCGTTGGCATCATTTGTATTCCATGGACACATTATCAGTTTAATTAATTTTAGTTTATAAAATAAATACATATTTCTTATCTAAGAATAATCACCACTTTAATACAATTTTGAATTTATCAAAACAAATAATGGAACGATTATATCCTTTCTCCAGGTGAGGAAATATTAACAATTATATAAGCCACGTGTTCAAAGTCAAATCAACTGGGATAGTTGGGTGTTGGTTCCTCAAATTGAAAACAAAACAAAAAAGGCATAGAATTAGAATTAAACACAATTTATATGATCCAATGAGACTTGAACACTTGTGAAATTTTAACATGTTTTCGTGGAGAATAAGCTCGAAATATGTCATTACGACATGTATTTTTTTCCAAAACCTTTTAAACTGCAAGGTATCAGTTTCATTACAGAAACCTTCAAATAAAACGCACAGTTAAATGCGATACATGAAATTGTTTTCCAATGTGTGTCGAAACTATAGTATTGAGGTACAGAGTTGAAAATAATAGTTAGTACTAAGATACTAATCGTTATTATGACTATTTAATGATAGGAAAGACTTCCTTGATTATTCTTTCAATCTAGAATAAACTTCTTATTCGCCTCGTTTACGAACAAGACGTTACATCATCTCTGTATTTTCAGCAGACACATTATTCCAAAAATACATCCTTGTAATTTTTATGTTTTCCCTATTATATGGTATGCCAGATTCTATTTAAATTCTCACGAGTTTGTTCTGTTCACGAATGATACATGCAATCTATGTTATTAGGTCTTTCCACTATTCTGTGGAAAGACCTATTGTATTTGTTCTGATTATTTTTTCTTCTTCTTCAATCAAATTTGTTACGTGCCCTGTTTTGTGGTTTGGCAAGATGTCGCTTAGATTTTTTGCATATGATATCGAACAGTTATTGCGTTTTTGAGACTGACACTGTTTTCTTTATGGTTAGATTTCCCCCGTAACCGTAAAAAAAGCGACAAATTTGTTTTACCAAATTGCTCGCTATATCCTCAGGATTTTTGACGGAAGCGATACGAAGACTCCATACGAGATTTATTTCCCTAATGCATTTGAAATAAGTGACATGCATTTTATACTGGTTAACCATAAGTGATAGAGACCTAGGTTTTGTTGATTTGAGGTCCTTGGTCCAAGAAATAGGTCAAAGGTCAAGGTCAAAATAATTTTTTTTACTTTTCTTATTCCATGATATCCTCTGTCACTTTTAAAGATATATATAATAGAACTAGTGCAAAATGTTTGCCTAATTGTGATTAAGATATGATACATTGGTCTGAAACAATCCACTGACACCTTATTAGACTTTTTGGACCTGAAATGCACTTATTTCATATTAAAGTACCTACAAACAAAAATCGTTTTTAAATATGCATACGTAAACCTATCATTTGAGACCGGAAGTGAATTTTACTAAACCGGAATAACCTAATATCTCCCTTATTACAGGCAAAAGTATATAGAAAATATATATTTGTGGGAGCAGTATAACTAAAGCTAACATGTGAGACCATAAGTGTCATTTTTTAAACCGGAAGTTGACAATTATCTTCCTTAGTTCAGGCCAAAAAATATAAAAACATTTATTTATTGAATCAGTATGAAGAAACCTATGCTTGGACGCCACATGTAACTTTGAGTAAACCGAATGTAGCTTCTCATCAATAATTTATAAAATTGATGTGGAAAGACCTTCAATTGTTCTCTGAACAATTGGTTATTAATTTCTTTATGTATGCTATTTGTTTTTGTATTCGAAATGCGAGCAGTAAAGATTGACTACTGTATTAAAATCCATAAAAAGTCAAGGAAATTCAGGAACATCATTATAGTCACAAATTATCAGTTTCATTATGTAAACTTGTGTATTTTTTCATGTTGTACTATTTAATGGTTACGTTGGAATTCATGATTTTGAAAATTGTGTTAACTGCTGTATCACTAGCCTATCAACACTGGGATAGTGAGTTCGAATGCCCCACGTGCGGGTGAAAAAGAAATAATAATTTTTATTTTTATAACTGGATTTCCCCCTACATGGCCTTTTATAATAATTTTTTTATAAATCTACCTGATATACCTAATGACAAGTCAAAATGCTTTAAATATTCTAAATATGTAAAATTTAATGTCATTACAGATTTAAAAAATTAAATTATTGTGTCTCTTGTGGAGAGTTGTCTCATTGGCAATCATACCACTTCTTCTTTTTTATATATCTCATTCGGAAACAATAGGAATTATCTTTGGATAAAAAATCATAATGATTTATACAATGGAACTGTAAACTAAATATGATGAGATGTATTCATTTTTGATTTACATTTCAAGACAATGTCATAAATAATTTTGCGTATGTATCTTTCTACCTTTTATTCAAAATAGACTTGTGAACTGTTTACCATTTTACATTGTTTCCGTCAGAATTATGATATGTGTGTTTGCGTTAGGTTTTACAATATCGCAGTTAATATAGGAACACTATATGATTACCTTAAAGATAAATAGATGGACATCACGAAAACATGAAAATAGTATCAAGAAAAAAATAAAAACGTCAATGTATAGTTAAAGCGTACGAATCGCATTATTTTATGATTTACCTTAATCAAGAACGTTCAATGCCGGCAGTGTGAAAACCAAGGACGTAACAGAACCTTTTTTTTTTTAAAAGAGCTATCCGACCAAATTAATGCCCCGCCGTGACGGTCGAGCTCTGAACAGTTGGGGCAAGTATGGACACATCATTCAAAATTAATGCAGCTCTGAATTTGATTCCTATTAAATAGTTAACACATCATGGGTTTCTGACACAGAATAAATGTGGTGAGAGAACTAAAAAATTTGAAATTGTAATTTTACCTATTATGTTTCATTACCCAAAATCTGAATTCACCATGAGGTTCAGCATATCAAAGAG